GGAAGGAGGGGAGAAAATACAGAAAAAATATTCATCCTGATTAGCAATTTAAAGGTATATTAGGCAAACTGGAGGTCTCATTTTCAATATGAGATTTGTGCCTCCTCCCACTTTTTTTAAACGGTAGCATCCAGGGCTTTGAGATTTTGATACTAGACTAGTAAGTACACTTACACACTTCCAGTGGATTGTAATCTTGGTTCAATCCCTTTGTAAAACACAATGACACTGTGACTCACAAAACATGAAACAGTATTCATACCCATTGATTCCATATTGATTTCTGGGAATTTATCCTAAGACAATAATTCAACAGGAAAAAAGTTAGTAAAGGTGTCCATCGCAGCATTATCTATAATAGAGAAAAACTGGAAACAGCTTAAAAGTCTAACACCAGAGAAATTGGAGAACTGATTAAATTATGGTTAAATTAATAAAGCCCTCTCTCACTGAGGAGTTTAATTCAGGCATTTAAAAAGATAGCATTTAAAAAAAAAATGAGGCCAGATGGCTCACACCTTTAATATCAGCACTTTGGGAAGCCGAGATGGGTGAACTGCTTGAGCCCAGGACAATATAGTAAGACCTCATCTCTACAAAAAAATCAAAAATTTAGCCGGGTGTGGTGGTGCTTGCCTATTGTCCCAGCTACTCAAGAGGCTGAGGAAGGAAGATCAATTGAACTCAGGAGTCTGAGACTGTGGTGAGCCATGATCGTGCCACTGCACTTCAGCCTGGGTGACTGGGTGAGTGAGAACCCCAACTCAGAAATTAAGAAATTAAGGAAGGAAGGAAAAGGGAAGAAAGAAAGAAGGAAAGGAAGGAAGGAAAGTGTTGGTACCAGAAGCATTTGATATCAATGGTTTAACACAGGGTTTCTCAACCTCAGCGCCATTGGTGTCTTGGACCAATCTCTTTGCTGTGAGGAATTTTCATGTTCATTGTAGAATGTTGAGCAGTGTCCCTGGCCACCACCCACTGGATGATGCCAGTAGCACAGCCCCCCTAGTTATGACAATCAAAAATGTTTCCAGACCCTACTAACTGTCCCCTGAGAGAGCAAAATCACCCTCAGTCAAGAACCACTGATTTAACCTTTTCTTTTTTTTTCTTTTTTTTTGAATCAGGGTCTTACTCTGTCACCCAGGTTGGAGTGCAGTGGCTCTGAGCCACACAGCCACTGGACCTGCTGGGCTCAGGCGATCCTTCTACCTCAGCCTTCCAAGTAGCTGGAACTATAGGCACACGCCGCCACACCTGGCTATTTATTTACTTATTTATTGTAGAGACAAAGTCTCGCCAAGTTGCCCAGGTTGTTCTCCAACCCCTGGACTCAGGCAATCGTTTC